GGAGATGGCAATGAGGATGGACTCCAGACCCATGGCCAACAGCCACAGTCAGCCCATAGGCAATATTGATAGTGATGTTGGCATAGTCAATGCTCATAAATATGCTCACAGTACATGTAAGGCATATCATGGTAGCCACAGTAGGGAAGATTAAGGATGAGACAACAGATATAGTGTAGAATATACCCCAAAATCCAATTCTGCCTATGGCAGTGTAGTTGAGAATGGTTGTATATCTCCATGGGTTGTTTAATCTCAATTGATAACCATGTATCTATCAAAGGCCATGGCCAGGAAAACCAAGTACTTTGAAGCACAAGATAAAATGGACACAAACCATCTGATCCAGGGATCCACCAAAGGAAATCTCAACTGCATGGAGCCACAAAATGTCCAGCATTTGGGGCCCTGTGGTGGAGCTGAAAGCCAGATCAGTGAGAGAGAATGTAGTGCCACCCCCTTTCTCCACAGAATAGTCTTAAGTGGGCTTCTCCAGAAATTTTTACCATGGCTGGTTTTAGGACTGTCAACAGAAGAGTCTCTACAAAAGAGTTCAATGTAGATAAACTTCCTATTTTTGTGTTGCCCTATTTTACTTGGCCACTGGCTGGGAAGAAATCAGCACTCCAGGGACTGGACAGCCCCTTTCTAGTGTTCCACAAATATAAATCCAGTATATAGTTTGTAGAAATTTGTAAACAAGGCCTCTAGCCTTGAGCTGGGGCTTCACAGAGATGGGCTCCATGGTAACTGCTAGCAGGAGGAGGAAAGAAAGGGGACAAGAAATTTTCCCCTTCTCAGGTCCTTGAAGGGTTAACTTGCCCCAGAACAGTGAAAGAAAAAGCTGCTTTTATGTGAACTTCTGTAGACTGTGAACTTCTGAGCCCCTCCCCTTACATGCTGGGTATAATTATTGCGTGTGTATAATGAAGCAGACATTATTATTCTGTGTGTATATATGTGAATGCAAGATCAATGTGATTCTGCAAACTGTATACTCAGAAAAATTAGATATTATGTCCCATCTGATTCAAATGTATGATTGTCAAGGTCATTGTACTGTCATGTGTAACTAATTAAAACAAATTTTAAAAAATAAAATAAAATTCTGAAACTACCTGAACTAGGGGTTCAGGGGATTGATTACAACAAAAGCTGTGCCCTCTAAACCCGCCTGCAGCCAAATAAAACTGTTTCCTGCTATCTTCGGTGCCTTGCTTTGTCTGTCCCTACAACAAGAGAAGGCAAAGAAAGAGGTACATCGGTGCATGAAGGGCACTGTCCATCACAATGACAAAGATGAGGGCAGTATTCCAAGCAGTGCAACAAGATACATGACACAAGAAAGAATGGCAGTGCAGACACAGCAAGGCTCTTACCCTGAGACCTTTGTGATAGCGAAAGTTTCAGAGAGACCATCACTAGTAAAGACTGTCTGGAACCCCGCCTTTCTGTCAGCCAGCACTGTAACTGCTACTTCAAGGAACAAACTAAGCAGCACCCAATTCCATTATTGAAGCACGTTTTCTCTATATGTATAGCTAAAAATGCTTCATAGCTGCTTCCATTTGATTTAATTATCTATTAAAGAACAGATGTTCTTTCACTGTCTCTCCTTTACTGTAACTGTAATATACTTTTTAAACAAAGTTCCCAGTTGAAAGGGGTATGATTATGCATTGTTTTCTACATAGGGCAGGTAGATGCAGACCTCAGGTTGTTAGATTTGTCTTAGTGTTTTAGTCACTATGCTTTGATTCTTGGCTATCCTCCTTCACTTCTATATCTACAAACTTTTAAATGAATTTAGCAGACACCTGTTTCTTGTTCTTTTGAGTAGCTTATCAGATTTGGATAGAATGGACATAATGGGCCAGGCATTCACCATAGGAAATCTCAACCTTTTACAGCATCCTTTTGGCATACTTGCTTTCTATTTGGCCCTCACTCTCTCTACCTTGTGACTTATTTGAAACAATTACTCCAATAGACTCCCACCTCTGATGCAGTAGTTCTGCACTCCAAAAGGCAAAAGTTTAAGGTTTTCCATCAACTCTTTCAAATCCAGGCCATTCTGATATGATCGGATCCTGATCACTTGTTCTGCATCCCACACACTGTTGATCTGAGCACACAGAGGAAGATAGAAGGATAATGCTAAGACATGGGTGGAAAATGAAAACAACACCCTACATCTAACAGGCACTTTACAAGGGTAACTATAATATCCCCAAAGTGAACAGGTTCTGGTTATTTAAGAAAGTTTGCTAGGATTGTTTTTTCCCTGCTCCCGGGCTTTTCTTCAAATGTCTCATAATAGAATATATTTTAAGAACCACTTTCTGAATTTCTCATTTTTCTATTCCCATAATAGCTAACATTTAAGTTTCTAAAGATATTATATTGTGAAAAAAAAAGTCAAATTTTTTTTCCTTTAAAAAAAATCTGGGAATTCATTTTATCATGATATTTTGTGATTTTCTTTTATTTTTACATTTCTATGATTAAATGTCTGTGTGCAGACTTTTGTCCATGATCGAAATTGCATGTAGTTTTTTGTTATGAAGCTATAGCTGGCACTTCTACTGTTGAGTAGAGATAATTCTCTGTGCCTCTAATTGTGGAAACTTATGACTTATGACTATGGAAACTTATGCAAATGGCTATCAAAGTTTATCTTCTACAGTATTACAACTCTCTGGAGTCCTGTTTTATATCCTTCATGTTATCTACTTTTACTGTAGTTTATGATGCCACAATGTGTCTCAGTGACTGTGTTTTGTTTTGTTTCACAGTGCCTGATAATACAGGTTGATGACTACTAATGTGAGCATTGTAGGTTCATTTAACATATTCTGCCCAGTGTCCTTCCCCTTTTCTAGTATTTTAATCCTACCCCAATACTTGTATTGCAGAAAGGATTTATTTTAGTAGATACCACCGACTCTTATCTTTAAATGTAGTTTTCCTCACAGCTTCTCACCTAGTTTTGTTCTGCTAGAGAGCTAATCAGGTATGCAGGGCCTACATAGTTGCTAATACCTTGAGGGATCTGCAGCCTCTACTCTGGACTGGCACCCTTGGATATGGCACAGGACAGATCTTCTCCATGGTTTCTTCTTGGAGACTAAAATCCAAGCTTTCATTCACCACAGCTGAGAGGATTTTGCAGCTTTGTCATCAAAGTCTACTCCTTAAACTTCTGGTTTGGATTCCTTTATCATCCTGAAGCTACAATGCAATAAACTTAATGGGGAAGAGAATGATTTACAGACATCAGTAAACTGCTCTCCATTAAGGTATAGCAGGGCACAGTACCAAGTAATTCTGCTAAGAATAATGCCAATAATGTCTTCCACCCTACTCAGGGATCTAACTACTGGAACCTACATGATGGTGGAGGAGGAAGAAGCCTACTTCTAGGATCCCAAAGTGCTTTCTTTCTATCATCCTCACTTTGTCCCAGGGACTCTTTCTTCCCTAAGAGAAAACATAGGTAACTGATCTCAGAAATTCAGACCAACAAATTTGAATAACCCATGTACTGGAAAGTAAGGCCCCAGAGATATTTGGGGTACAGTCCCTCACCTCCACAACCTTCAGGCCTTTAGACTCATGGGGCATCAAAACACAGTTGAGTCACAGAGCCTACCTCAAAGATGTGCCTCCTCCCCAGCCCCAAGGGCATGAGACTCAGTTGCTCAACCCAGACTTGCCTGTCTCCTGAAGTACACCCAAAATTTTTAGTCTTTCGTTTCCTCTTAACTTTCCAAGTATGCTTCCTCTCTCCCATATTTCCATTAACTTTTATCCTTCTACATGTTTACCTTTAGTCACTGGTACTCTGAAGAATGATGAGTCACATCACTAATGGATCAAAATTTTTCAGAAAAGGTGGATTGGGGAATTGTTGATGACTTTCACTGAGGTGTAAGAAACAAAGAATTTAGAATAAGGATAGACTGGGAAATCCTGAAATAGACTTGGAAATACTAAGCCAGAAATTCACCTGAGATACTCAGAGAGAAAGCTGGTACACTGGGAAAAGTACCAATATTAAACTAAGACATTTAGGAATCATTATTATAGAAGAGTCAGAGTTGACTATGAAAGTGGCCAAATTCTCTGAAAGAGGAATAAAGAAAGAATTGTTAATAAACACCATTCTGTAAGGGAATGGATTAAAAATATATTAAAGGAAGCATCTTCAGGAAACAAGTACATAGATCAAATTCTAAAACATTTTTGTAATGTGGAAAAATGGAAACGTTTCTTCACTTTAAGTCTCTTACTGGAATGGATGGTGAAACATCAGCATTGGAAAGGATGCTTCTTTGTACAAGAAATTCAGGGGCAAAAAACTCAGAGATCATTTTTAATAACTGATAAGATAGCAAATTTGAGCATTTTGCAGGTTAAAAAAGAAGAAGCCTGCATAGAAAGATAGAATGGTGCTTCAAAAGTAGAGCAGATTTCTGGCATAGGCAGATGCCAAAGGAAGAACTTTAGCAAAGAAGTAAGTTACACTTATTCTGAAATATTGACAGACTGTACCTTGAGACAAGGAAAACAAAGATAAAAGAATAAACAGTTTCAAGAGACCGTAAGGAAATTAATGCCTTCTTGGGATAGCAAAGGCTAGAATTCTAAGTTATTCTGGAGTGGAATAGAGATGACTCAGAATTTCCCCACCTCATGTTCAAAATTTAAAAAGACTCTGAGGTTGGAGAATAGATGAAGTTCCCAAAATCTTAAAACATGACCCACACTTTGCTCCCTTTGCCCACCTACCCTTCAATTTACATCACACGCAAGATCCAAGCAATCTTTTTAATGTAGAACAGGCTTGGGCAGTGAGACAAGAGCTGTCCAAGTATGCTCACAACACAAGCAGGAGGAATTCCCAAAATAAGTGACTTCCCTCCCCCTCCCCTTCCCTCTCCTTTTCTTCCCTCTATCTAGGGTGGTGCAGTGTGGGCATCAGCTGGAAGGACCTGGGCCTATGGCATTCCTAACAGTCTCTCAATGGCAGCGTAGATGTCTCCATCTGTGGCCATCAGGGCCTGCAGGTTGGCGTCATGATTAGCAAAACCCAAGGCCTTCAGCTGCTCAAGTTCTTGATGGTAGCGACCTTCGGTGATAAGGTATGAGGATAATGAGGACTGGGTAGACTGCGAACAGGCATGGACCAATTCATGAAGGAACTGAAGAACTGCCAAGGTGGGTTGCACAGAGTTTTCTCTATGACCCCTATTTTCTGCGACTCCTCTAGCCCCACGTGGCCTAGCTGGGTCCTGTAAGAGTGGACCTAGTGCAGGCACCTCCCTGGACAGTATTTGTAGGCCTTGTTCTATCTGTATCAGTGCCTGAAGTGCTCGCGGGTTGGTGAGAATGGAAAGTATTGGTATCTGATGATGCATGGGACTGCCAGTTGTCATCTGGTGTAGCAGACTTGGTTTCTGCTGTAGGACATACAAGAGTCCACGCAAAATAGAGGGTGAAGGTCTCAGCTGATTGGGTAGAGAATTTTTCTCTATGGACTGCTGGCTATCCTGAGAGGGAGGCTCTTGGCCTGAATGTAAGTCTTGAATACCAGTCCTATGCCCTGAACTGGCCTGATTTGCGGCCATGCCCCTGACCTGGGTAACCACTCCTGTACTGACCTCTTGTTCCAATGGCCTAGCAGGCACAGAAGCAGTAGGAATGGTGGTGGAAGTATCAGAATTGCCATGAGCATTGGTTTCTCCTTTGCAAGACTCTGAACCTGAGATGTGGCCTTTAGAGACAACTAATAGGGCCAGAGTGGAGAGCATGAGCTGCTGGAGATCAGAGCAGATTGGATGCATGGCGTTGTCACCACCTGGCACGGCCTTCAAGGCCTCCAGCCTCTGTTTCCCTGCCTCCAGGAGCTCCTGCTGCTGGGCTCGCTTCTGCAAGGTTTCCAGAGTCTTGAGAGCTGGGTCATGTTTCTGTACTGGCCTTGAGGATTCAGGAACGTGGTTGCCAGGAACGTGGTTTGCTTGTTTCTCATTGTCCAGACCTTGAATTAAAGGGTCTTCCAAGAACTGCAGCACAGACTCTGGTGCAGTCATCAGGAGTTGAGTCAGCTGGCTAAAGAAGTCAGCCAGATCAGGTGAGCTCCGGGCCAGCCGACCAAACCTAGTGAGCATCGAAGCCCCCTCGGAGGCTAGTGGTTCAGAACGATGGGTGCTGTGGCCTGTGGTGCCTGGCATAGCTCCAGGGATGGCTAACCCTTTCAAACGAGTCCTCACCACCAAGTGGACTGTAGTGCCATCCAGGATGCCCCGCTGGCTCAGTATATCTTGATCCCTAAGGATTTTTCCAGTGAAGATGAGTACCAATCGATCAATGTCACAGTGACGGCGTTCAGCGATCTGCTTTTTAAAGTGACGAACACTACTATCTTCTGCCAGCAAAAATTCCTGGCAGTCCCGTGGGGTCTTGACAGACACTCGGATGATACGTGATGACGGCTCCCTACCAGACACCAGCTGGCTGTCCCCTGCTTCTTTCCTAGCCCGTGCCATATTTCCTTGAGACAGAATGCTAGGCCACCTAAGGATACCGTGGGGCACAGACCTGTAGAAGCCTAGATGTGGCACTGAGTACACGTGGGTGCTGGGATCAGTAGATGTCCAGTGATGTCCTTTCACCCACGTCCTGCAGAGGCCACCTCCCCAGTGTAGCCCTGCAGCCACCTGGCTCCCTTAGAGGGGGCGGTTACTCCACTCCTGGACCAGCCTTTGGGGATATGGTGTCAGTGATGAGGTCACAGTTGAAAGGCAGGCATGAATGGGGGAAGGGCAGAGGTCTCTACAACCAGCTTGAGGTTAGGCTCTCTTTATGATTTGATTTTAACAGCAATAGAAAAATAATTAAGTGTCCTTTCTAGAAGTATGTTTCATACCATCCTGTTTCACTACTGAATATTCTACCAGTGGCATTTGGCGAATATGGCTGAATAGGAAAGTCACTGATGTAAGCATTAGCTTARGAAGTACTAATTCTAGTCACTAAGTTACTATCAACTGACCATGGCCCAGCCAAGGTCTCAAGTCCTTGTTTCTGTATGAATGGAATGGCAATATGTATCATCATCCCACAGAGCCTCACACAGATCAGTAGCTAGCTTGCACCCTGAGGCCTTTCAGGGACGAAGGAATCCATCTACATGTTTCTAACAACACCTCCATGTTCCCCAAAAACTTGTAAGCAAAATTGTTTTCAGAGAAACAAACTGTGATTCCAACTCAGAGGATCAGGACTGAGACAAGAGAAATCTTGGTAAAATAACAGTATCTGGGTCATATGACTTAATTATTAGATTTAAGGTAACATATTTACTACAAAGGATACTTGTCAATTGGGAGGAGACATATTTCAACTGTAAAAGCAGAAAACAGTGAGTCTCTGAGGCACTGTTTGGATCACTCCAGGCAAAGTCAAGTCTAATTCCTGCAGCGACTATTGATGACAGTGAAGATGAATGCATCACATTATCTTAGGTTCGTAGCATTAGCTCTCACTATTATATACTTAACCCTTTTCCTGAATCTTAAATTTTCAGGGACGATAAAATCAAACTTTGGCTGCCTAGAATACTACCTGCAAATTATCTTGCTGGATGTGGGGAACATGAGCATTTAGATCCTTCTACAATCTCATCATTTATCATATATTGATATATATATTCTTAAACAATGATTTGTTTTTGTTTGTTTGTTTGTTTTGATACTGGGAATTGAACTCAGGGGCACTTTACCACTGAGATAAATCCTCAGCACCCCCCTCACACACTTTTTTTTTTCTTTAATTTTGGGCCAGTCTCCCTAAGTTGCTGAGGCTGGTGTCAAACTTGTGATCCTCCTGCCTTAGTCTCCAGAGTCACTAGGATGACAAGTACGTGCTGCAGGCAAACACTGATTTGTTGGAATCAGCATCTCCATTGTCCAATCAATATCAAGATGAGGTAAGTTGTAAGTTCTGAGTTTAAAACGACCACCCACTCAAGAACTTTCTTAGTGCCTCAAGACTCACTGACACCCAGCCAGACTACTGGGCCTCTCCTGATAATTCCCAGACCTCCAAACAGCTTCTAGCATGCCAAGTATTAGAAGCACACCCAGTTCCTTTGAGGATTCTGTTCTGGTTGCCCCCAGAAGAAGCAGGTATTTTAATTAATGGTTCTGACTCTCTCTTAGGAAATACATTAATGTGCAGCTGGGGTTAAAATATCAAGAATCACCTTTTCATATCTGGTGTTTCTAGGGGATTTTCCCCTCATAGACCTGAGGTTAACCAACCCTTGCTCTCCTCTTCTACGGGCTCTATTATCAGGGTTTGAAGAATAGCCAGGAGCAAGTTTTCAGAGGGAAATCAAGGATACTCTTTTGACCCAAATTTAGTTTCAGGTCCCTGTTAGAGATCTAGAGTTGCCATACATCAAAGCTGGAGATGCAGACCTGCTGTTCCTCAGCATGTATGGGTGTTATTGGAAACATGGGACCAGCCCATATACACTGACTGTGCAGACAGAAAAAAACATGTGGAGCCCAGAACTGATCCACATTCATGACTACTTGGTTTCACTGGGTAAATTTACAGAAATGAAATTACTCTTGGGTCAAAGAATATCAAAGTTTTAAGTTTATGCAACAATTTAAAGTGCTAGAGAGGCATCAAGGCCAATTTTTTATAGGAAGAATTTAAGATTTAGGTCAAGATGATTTAACAATCTTTTCTTATTAATGCAGAACTGCGTGCAATAGTTGAACTCCATGCTAGAAATTTAGTCCCTAGGAGCCTTGCAACTAGCAGTTGTGTGTTAAGTCAGCTTTCTGTCACTGAGACAAATACCTGAGATGACTTATAAGAAAAAAAAGCTTTATTTTGTCTCATGGTTCTAGAAGTTTTAGTCCACAGTCAGCTGATTCCATCACTTTTGAGCCTGTGGCAAAGAAGAACATCATAGTAGGGAGCACGAGGTGAAGCCAAGTTGCTCACCTCATGGTGACCAGGAAGTAAAGAGAGAAAAGGAAAACAGGGTCAGAGTCCCAATATCCCCTGCAAGGGCACATCGCCAGTGACCCCACCTCCTTCTATCAGGTCCCACCTCTTAAATGTTCCACCAGCTCTCAAGAGCACCATTGGCTCAGGACCAATCCTTCAATACCGAGCCATGGGGGACACTTAAGATGCAGACCATAACAACTTTCTTTGTAAGTTTAGGCTCAAGTGTGTCCCGTGTCAGATGAGCAGCCTTAAGGGATTCTTTAAAATTGAAGAAGGAGAAAGATTATCTTGTGGTTGAGGCAACTGCCTAATATATCCCTAGCAGGTACTTCAGGTGTAACAAGCATGATATATTATTTATTGATTCTGACTTCTAAGGATGGAGAGAAAATTAAAGTTAAATAAACAATGCATACATATATATTTTAATATACATGCATAATAAATTTACAAATTATTTACATAGGTATAATAATCAATAACTAATAAAACAAAGTATTAAGAACTGAAAAGAGGGCTGAAGTTGTGGCTCAGTGGTAGAGCACTTGCCTGGCATGTGTGAGGCCCTGGGTTCAACCCTCAGCACCGCATATAAAATAAATAAAATTTAAAAATCCATTTACAACTAAAAAATATTTTTTWAAAAAAAAGAACTGAAAAGAACATGTTAGTCATATCTAAAAGTAAAATATTCGCTGATTAGTGACTGAATAAAATTTATAGTGTTAATAACATTAGGTTTTGGGTAAGGGAGCCTTCATGTATAGATATAAGGACCAAAATTGTGGTTATAATAATCAATCATAAGGCACTCATTAATATTTTCCAGAATTAAGAACAGGCAATAGAATATAGGAAGGATAATGTGGGACAAAGGAGAGGAAGTAATGGGGATGGAAATTAAGCAAATTATGCTCCATGCATGTATGATTATGTCAAAATGAACCCTGCTATAATGTATAGTTATAATGCATCAATAAAAACATTAAAAAGAACAGGTAAAATTTGTCTGTCCAATGGAGAAGCAATGCACATGATCACTCCTTCATTAGTTAGGCTTTTTTTGTTTTATTCCTTGAAGTCCCTTTTTTAGTTTACATTGAGTCAAATTAATTATTCTGAGGATTCATGGGGTTTCATCTTATAAAGCCCAATTTGTAAGTATGGAGGCTTATTTTATTTTTATTGTTTATTATTTTAGATTGTCAATGCACAATATATAATATATGGGGGCAATGGGTATTATAAGAATGGAAAATTAACACAAGAGTTAAAGTGAGGCTGTTATGGTTTGGATGAAGTGTCTCCTAAAACTCATGTGTAAGACAATGCAAGGAAATTTAGAAATGAAATGACTGGGTTATGAAAGCCTTAACTTAATTAATCCATTTAAATGGCTTAACTGAGTGGTAACTATAAACAGGCACATGTGATTGAAGGAGGTGGGTCAGTGGGAGAATGTCTTTGGATTAGATTTTATTCATGGTGAGCAGAGCTCTCTCTGCTTCCTAGTTGCCTTATCTTGAGCTGCTTCTCTCTGCCACACCCTTTCACTTTGATGTTCTGCCTCACTTCCAAGCCAAAGGAAAGAAGGTGCCTATCTATGGACTGAGACTTCTGAAATGTGAGCTCCACATAAACTTTGTCCTCTATTTTTTTTTAAGTTTAAACCTCTTTATTGTGTAGCTAACACCAATTACATCTCAAGACAAATAACATCCTTTACTCAAACACCTGGTACCAAATGTGGCCATTTCAAATTTCTCCCTCATCGGAGCCTCTAATCTTTCAGGACTATTCAAACAATAATTGCCCTCTGATTTTTTTTTAAATAATTATTCATTCTTTTTAGTTATACATGGCAGTATAATCTGTTTTGACATATTTATACAAACATGGTGTATATCTTATTCTGATTAGGATCACTGTCTTGTGGATAAACACGATGTTGAGATTCATATATGTACATAGGAAAGTTATATCTGAATCATTCCAGTGTCTTTCCTATTTCTATTTCCTCTATCTTTCCTTCATTACCCTTTGTCTTATCTACTGAATTTCTATTCTTCTTCAACCCCCTTCCCTTATCATATGTTATCATCTGTGTATCAAAAAGAACACTTAACGGTTGTTTTGGGGGGATTGTCTTATTTCACTTAGCAAGATAGTCTCCAGATCCATCCATTTACCAGCAATTGTCATAAAGTCATTGCAACATTTTCTCTTATCTATTCACTTGTTGGTGCATACCTAGATTGGTTCCATAGCTTAGCTATTGTGAATTGTGCTGCTATAAATATTGATGTGGCTATATCACTATAGTATGCTGATTTTAACTCCTTTGGAAATATACTGAGGAGTGGGATAACTGGGTCAAATGATGGTTCCACTTCTAGGTCTTTGAGTTATCTCCATACTGCTTTCCAGAGTTGTTGTACCAATTTGCAGTCTCACCAGCAATRTATGAGTGTACCCTTTTCTCCATATCCTCACCAACTTTTATTGTTACTTGTAT